TAAATCACCCCAATCAAAATGTCGTTATTCTCTACGCAATGAAACTAGGGTAATACCGAAGTTCCGAACAGCTTATGGCCGGCAGCATATAGGCTACCAGGTTCCGCATTTAATAAATCACCTAAGCCCCCTTGATTTTAATACTATGTCGAAAAAATCTATGAAACTGTATATTATAAATCATCAATTGGAATATGTATGATGCGTATCTTTTTCATGTCATACTGTTATGTTATATTTACTGTTATATTTTACTGAAGTCAGTATATTTTATTCTGTATAATAATAATCTTATGTATTTTGCGACTGTTTATTGTGCATATTTCTTTGGTATTCCGGGCTGCTTATCCGGATTGATTTGATTTAACCTACATGTTATCTTTTTATCATGTATTATTCATCAGATGGTCTGTATACTGCTTATATGATCTTTAATTTGATATGAATTTCTGTGATAAATTTTGTATTGCCATATGTACCGCTGATGCTGAGTGCCAACAGGAGTGGGAGCCCTTTGTCAGGCCTTTGTAGCCTTTTGCTCCTGCTCCTTGTTTCTGTAATGGAAGCAAATAAACTTCAAACTTCAAACTTCAAACTTCAAACTTCAAACTATCTTTACTATACCATCACCGCATTCCAATCAAATGCCAGGACTCTAAAAAGAAAAGAAAAAGGGTGCAAGAATGTAAACTTCAGCATCACTTTTTGTGCACCAGCACCTCCCTGTAAACAGTTCAAATTTTCTGGGCACAAGGGGGGACAATAAACATTTGAGCAATTAAGGTGTAATTAAAAGTCGAACAAAAGATAGACAACAGTTTGTGGGCAACAAACAAATGGCGTCATCACCAAGAAATTGGAGCTACGTGCTACCACACGATCGCATGTACAGGTGATAGCCACTGCGACAGCATAAACAAACTGCGAGTGCAAAAACAAACTTAAATATTAGAGCCCAGAAAAAAAAAATCATTGTATCATCAAAGGGTGCCAGCCCTTGCTCGCCCTGCTAGAACAGGTAGAAATATTTTTATGTTCTTACAACAAAAAGAGTGCCAAAAACATACGACACTAACCGATTGCAACACGTTCGCGCCATCGCATATTATCATTTTTGACCCTGAATGGATCAAAACACTTGAGGATGTCCCACATACTCATTTCCTACCTATACTGCATCATTTGAGATTAAAAATACAGCACATCAGAACAAAAAAAAAAACTGACTGCAACTGCTACCGTATGAATACCTTCCATAAAAACGTGGAGCTTCGCATGCTCCAGCGGGTTGCCAGACCAGAGACGGCACCGCCCGCTAGGCAATAGGTGGCACAGACGTTAAAAAGGTCTATACAATGACGACGACAGCCTCCACAGGACAGCGTCGCGAATCAACTCCTTAAAACATGTTTTGTCACACATGCTTCGTATTATAAAGCAGCTGTTCCCAGCCAATGTTCTCGGCTGTGCTCAGAGACGTTCATCTTAAGTGCAATTTTGTGCCATTGAAATATTGTATATTTCCATCAGTGATGGAAGCAACATTTTGCTTTTTGGAGCAGATTCTGGAGCAGAAAAAATGGTGCTTTGGAGCAGCCTTAACTGTCTTCGGAGCAGATAAGAATGCTATAGCTAAGGGTTGCTATTGGTGTATTCGGAGCAGATGCGTGTTTCTAATGACTCCTGAAGTCTAAAACATCACTTAAGCATCTAATAAATATTTATATTTATTAATACACAAGCCATATGCTAGTTATTCAACTGGTATACAAGCCGTATAGTAGCATTGTTGGCATAAATCATGGGGTGGTAGGGGGGAGGGTCAAGGGAGGCCGGACTTTTTTGTGTACAGGCTGGGGAGGACAACCCTTGCAAGTGTCCCCCTTGAGACTTTAGGTTTAACACGTGATATAATTGAGTCAACAGTTAAGTATACTGCAATCAACATTTTAAAAGGCCTTTTTTATATCTTTTACTGCGTAGCTGTGTTAAATGCCCCTGAGCTGTGTGAACTATGAAAATCGCAAAAAGGTGAATAAAAAGAGAATGAATATAGCAATGCAATTGCTCGAGCTCAGACTCAACGCTTGTTTTTTTTTTTTAAATTCTATTTGAAAGCATGATTTATTTCTTATATAAATACAAATACAACCCATATTAAAATACGAATTGGTCAGCATGGCCTTATATGTGTCACCCTTTGTGATTTTTATGGATTTACTCCACTGAGTAGCATACTAGGATGATAGAATAAAGCTTGCTTTTGGTTTCGCTTAGGCTCACGGAATGGTTACCATGGTTCAACTTCATTCTCTTCAGTTTGCCAACACCATTTTGAAGCAGGTTTGGAGCAGTTACTAGCAAATATTGCCCTTTAAAGCAGCATTTCTTTTTCGGAGCTGTTTGGAACAATTGGAGCAGCACTTCCATCACTGTTTCATGGTCACACAAACTTTCACAAAAGTGGCAGTGCACCTGAAAGTGACAATGATAACATGCAATGCCAGTGCCATCATAGGCGATTTTCTACTGCCAGAAATGTGGTCATTTTGCGATGACCAAATAGTGTTTTTTTTTCTTTTTTTTGGAGAAATTTCACATTCATTCCAGGGTTCAACTGTAGTAACTTAGTGCTTGACCAACATGCTCTTAAAGCAGGGGTGAGAAGGCCGGAATTAAATTGGGAGCAGCTTTTGGAGGAGCAATATTTTAGTTTTGGAGCAGGAAAACCTTGCTTCGGTGCAGTTAGCAGCACCTAATATGTCGTCCTGAAAGCTTGCACATACAACTTTTTAGCAACATGGGGCACGAGTGCATATTTTAATGGGCTTATAATATACACGTAACACTGAAACAGATTTTGAAGGAAGTTTTCAAACAGATTATCACCTGGTATGAACAGCCCTACCATTTTACATACCCTGTGACCTATTTAGCTCTCGTAACATGTGAAATAATATTTAAAGAAAGGTATGCTTGAAAACTAGGTTCCCTAGAAACACTTAGAAATAAAAATGCATCACACTAAAACAAAATTTAACAAAAATCACAGCGTATCCACGGAGTAAATGACAATTAATGGGGCAAAGCATTTGTCAGTCCGCCCAAGTTTCCGTCCATTAATGCGTCCTTCCGTGCATCCGTCCGTGTGTCCATCTATCCGTGTGACCATCGGTGCATCCGTCCATCTGTCCTATCTTCTGTTTGTCTACCTGTCTGTCCGTGCATCCATCCGCCCCTCTGTCTGTATGTCCATCCGTCTATCTACTGAACATTCCAAGTACCACCATCTCAAATTTTTTCATCATGTATTCATCATATACATGAACTGCCATCCAGCCGACATTCTAAGGACCGCTTTCTCGGGTATGTGCCACCAGTGGTTACTACAATAACAGGACGATCAGGTGACGCCACAAGAAGCTTCGCCCCTAAAATTGTGATTGTGCAAGAATCTTAGTTACCTGACAGTGGTCCTTCGCTTAAAGAAAAGCCTGACATGATAGTGTCAAGAGGTTTTAACAGACAACAAAAGCGTGCTGCACCACCGTTCGCTGCCACCTCGTGCGGGACCCCCTTCAAGAGAGCAGCGCTGGAGCCAAGAAACCTCGCTGCACCCACTGTCTCGCAAAGCATGTGCTTATGGCACTAAGTGATAAGCGAATGATACTGATAACTTCTTTCCACACGAGCAACCACGTGTTACTAATACGGCACACGTTGGTCAGTTCTATTTTTTTTTAATATCGTAGGACATCACCGTCGATGCAGAACTCTTGATAATACATCGAATTGCGATAGCCGCCCACGCCGCGACTCGTGTAAAGCGCTCGCACCGCGTGGCACAGGTAAGAAATTTGGGCCCATGCAAACAAACCACCGAACGTACAGAGGCCGTTTTTATTGCCAAGAAGGAATAAAAGAAAGAAAACGAAGTCCCACAATAAAATGGCCGTGGACCGAAACATCAATCAAACATAAACCTAAGTCTAAAAGCTTGCATAGCCCAGAGCCGGCAAGCAGCGACGCCTAAAGCGCTCGTCGTGAGTTTGGATTACAAAACTTAGTCGTGCCAAATCACCATTCATGAAAACTAAGCCACGTGGTCGCCGACGCATCATGAGTCATGAATAAAGCATTGAGGTGCCCGCTAATATCATTTAAAATGGCTTGATTGCGCGTTCTATTGCCATGGCTTCACAAATAACCAAGTCTCTTTACCTGCGGACACCAATGTGCGGTTGCACGTGCCACGGCTTTTTTAAATGCAATGAGAAATTGCTTGTCTAAATAAATTAGTAGCTAATGGGCACAAACCGGGAATGGGTTGCACACGTTCTGTCGCTCACCGAACCCATTTTGAGAACCTATGTGCACGCGCTGGAGCATTCAGGAAACGCGTTGCATGCTCAGAAATGATTACATGTTCACAATTACTCACTCACGACAAACGTGCACGCACGGGTGACCAGACGTAGCAGCGTCGATATAAAAGGTGTAGCGACCGAAGGAACGTGCTACGCACAATAAACCTGACCGTCAACCCCGCTGCGCTCGCCACTTGACTATGCTGTTTTCGCAAGGCAACAGAGGCACCAAAACACACGGCCTAGTTAGTAGAAGTAGCATGCTCGATGCACGGCAGTACAGTTTTGCGGCGTCACACATTTACAAGTTTAGAGGAGATTATGGCGGCACCTTGCATGGGAGCTTCGTCACCAGAACGATGCAAAGTAGAAAAAAAAATGACTGAGTGCATCTTATTAGTGAAGTCGGCCTTTTTTTCTCACTGAAGCTGAGGTTTCCATCGAAATTTCAGCTTTCAAGGCTGTTTTGGAGCAAGTCGGCGTAATTTTCATGCTTTTGGAGCAGCTTGGTGCAAGAAAACAGAAATGTATAAAAAATGCGCAATATGCACAGCTGTCTGACCGCTGTTAAAGGACAAAAAAAAGTAGCTTAAGGCGTGGACCATCAACATGAATGGCACACTATCAACTCACCTGTCCTACTGACATCAGCATCCCGACGTGCACGAAACAGCTGCTGCACAGCACTTGTCTGCCGCACCGTGCGCGGCTGTGGCCGCCAGTTGTCCTGATGACTCACTGGAAGGTCACTGAAGTTGCGGTTGCAACGCAGCACCAGGCGTTCTCTAGGCACAAACATCAAGAAGATTATTTAAGTCCAAATCGCCCACAATTATAAAGTTTGCTTAGAAGTTAATGGATACAAACATGTTAGTATGAATTTGCATGAAAAATTATGATTTTCCTCCTTCTCCTTGTACATACTTGCCCTTATTTTCACACTGCCCACATTATTACTCACGCATCAATTCTAAATAAAATGTCTAGTGCAGAATGACAGCTTAATTTGTCAAGCACAAATAGCTATAGCAATGAATGATGTACATTAGCAATGAATGGTGTACATTAGCAATGACAAAAGCTGGCTGCTCAGGTACAGTTTTGGTTCTGTACTTTTCGTTCTGCACTATTGGTTTCTGTACTGTTGGTTTTGGTTCTGTACTATTGCATAGCTTTGGTTCTGCAAAATTTAATATGTATTTCAGACAGAAAAAAGCATACAGCTAAAACTTGATTTGACAAAGTGATGAGTACACGTGATTTCACTAAAGCAGCAAGATTGTAAAATCAAGTAAAGAATTTTTCAGTACTACGATATTTAAAATTAGATGGCAGCGATGTCCAGAAGTGCCAGCTTATGCCTGCACATGTGAAACCCATAGGACGTAGCGGGAAGCTCCTCGTAGTACGGACTATGCAAATGCAGCTGGGCTACAGTATGCAACAAAATTGTGAGGGGATGATCTGTTCTATTAGTCACATAAACCATGGACTTGAAAAAAGCAAGATTTTGGAGCAGATAATTTTCATCTGGGAGCACCTGGAAGCAGCTGCTTTCCAATTCTAAAGTACACTGCAGAAAGTTGTATTTACATTATGGCCCCTGAATAAAATAAAACAGTCATAGCAATAAGCACCCAAATATCTCAATTCATTGCAAATCTTATGGAGAAGGTGCTCTCCAGAGAATTTCACTTGATTGTACGAAAAACTATGCCATGCAACTAAATGTTGTAGAATGATCTTCTCCGCAATTCTTTTTTCTACATAAACATAATAGTGGATGAATAAAATTATACACATTCCTACCTCATAATAACAAAGTGACATCTGCCACAAAAATACTTTGTTATATCTGAAAAGTCCTTATAAACACTATATATTCATTCGTAACACTGTATCTATGACGAAGCTATCGGTCACTAACTTCACTATAGCCAATAATTCCATAAATTTGAATTGATTATATAGAGGATTGAGTGTTTCATAAAATAACACTCTTAATACAACTATATAAACCAATAAATAATGAGGTCAAATAAAGCATATGGCACGTTAATGTTTAAGCATGTTGTAGAAATCGTGATAGGATCATCTGTTGAACTCCCATGGCAGATTGCGAGCGCTTGGCTGGATTGTGAATGGAGTGCGCTGATCTGAGCGGGATCACTTTCGCCATATCTGCGATTAGAACACGCACGTCTCGACGAAAGCGATTGGTGAGCGAAAATCTAGCAAGAGAGCACGAGAGGGTGCGAGGAAGTGCGAAGTGTTTTTTCGAACATTCATCGATGATTGGATGAAAGGCGGGCGCACAGAATATGTCACTTAAACTTCCAGACAAATCCACCAATTTCGGCGGAACAAGAATTTTCGCTCCACGGAGCAATCCGTGATCTGCGGTTTCTCTGAATCTGCCATTGGGACACACAATTCACGCTACCAATCCGCCATTGGAATGTGATTGCTCAGCTAAGAGCAGAAAAACTTGATCTGGATGTGCCATTGGAATTTAACAATAGTACAGTGGACGAAAAGACTATTTTCCACTTATAGAGACCAACCCTGCCACTTTCAGATAACATGCCTGATGCTTTACCATCCACTCATAGTGAGGCTCTCATGTTGGCAGAGTCGATGCCTTCAGGTAGTATGCGAGGATTTACTGGTCAGCTGCCTGCTCGCTAAAGATCTTATGTAATGTGATACCACCTGGCACAGAAAGTGTGTCGTAGCCCAAATTCCTTATACAGAACACACAAACAAGGATTACACAAAACACCCAATGAAGTGGACAAGAGGACAACTATCACCATAGCTCCCTTGGTTAAGCATTGAGCGTGTTTCTGAAGGTTGAATATTTGGTCCCTGCTGGTAACAAAAACTTCTTTCTGCTTCACTTTCTTCATATTAATACCGGACTTTCGTTGAAGTGGGGTAGAGGAAAAAGAAGTGAATGTGTTCTGTGCCAGGCATGAGTGCTACAACCATCTATCATCTTGCCTGTGCAATAAACATCTCTCACCCGTAACATAATTGATGGAGAGTGCTGGGTAACGCCTTGAAGCACCGGACAAGTCGGCGGAAGACACACCCCTGGAGCTTCGCCAGAGCCGCAGACTCGCAGGACTTCCGTCGCTACCAGTCATCATGAACCCTGACAGTGAAATCCAAACAGCTGCGTTTAACACCAATGGACACCATTACAGGGAACCGCGCCCCTTCTCTGGGAAACCTGGAGAGGACGTCGATAAATGGCTCAAGCACTATCAGCAGGTGAGTCTGTATAACCACTGGGACACTACCGGCCAGCGCAACTACATACCACTTTTTCTTGAGGGAACCGCGTTGATGTGGTACGAGAATCATGAGGAGAATTTGACTACGTGGGCGAATTTTGTGGACGAAATCAAGAAGTGTTTTGAAGATCCGACCACGATAAAGAAGCATGCTGAGCAGACTCTGAGCCAACGTGCTCAAGCCCCTGGGGAGACATGTACAATGTATATTGAAGAAGTTCTCAAGTTTTGCAAGATTGTGGACCCACTAATGACTGATGAGGTCGGACATCTCCTTAAGGGCATTGCGGAGGATATCTATCACTACCTTATACAAAAAGGATGACTTGCAGTCGGCCAATGACATCATCCGACATTGCCGAACATTTGAGACCCTTAAAGCTTGGCGCGTTTCGGCAAAGTTTGGTAGACTCCCCAACGTCACAACGGTCACAAGCATCGACGTAGTCCCTCCACCCAGCGATCTAGCGTCAACAATACGAAAAATAGTGCGCGAAGAACTTGATCGGCGGAACGCTGCTGCGCCGTCGATAGCACATGGCCAGGGTTATACGCCATGCGGCCCCGCCTGCGTCCATCAACAATGCGGGTTTCGTCGACTCAAGGACGCCGGTAAAGCTGCGTCGTCATGCCTGTATGTCTGATCCGCGAAACGACTCCGTGCAAAGGTCACCCCCGATAGGGCAGCGTGGCAAGGTTATCCTGCTGACCATCTTCAGCAGTGAGTGGGGCGTGAAGCACCTGTGTGCTTTTACTGCGGTGTTCGTGGACATATAGGCCGCTTCTGCTCAGAGCGGCATTGGTCACCTCTGCCGCAGTATCAACGACCCCCTGCATCCTCACAGCGCGCAAGTACTCGGAGAGACTATCGCTGGCCACCCAACGGCTACAACCGAAACGACTTCCAACAGACCTTCCACAGCGATTCACCGGCTTCTGTGCGGAGTGTGACGCCACCAGCCTCCTCCCGCCAGCATCGGTCACCATCACCAGGTCGTCGGCGTCTCACTTCTCCTCCTCCACTGGGAAACTAGACGCCGTGGTCTATGGAGGTGAGGTCACAGGACATTTTTCACCACGTGCAGATATGCCTCCGCCAGTTTCCATGCTACAAAATAGGGTCAGCGTTCTTATAGATAGTGTCCCCACGTCCGCATTAGTCGACACAAGAGCCACTGTTTCCGTCATGAGCAGAAATTTCAAGACTCGTCTTGGCAAGAAAATGATTTTCTCTTGGGGAAGCCAGACAACATTTCGTGCAGTGAGTGGAGAACCGTTGCGCCCAGTGGGAGTTTGTACTATAACTGTTAGTTTCAGCGCTAAATTGTTTAGGGCAGATATTGCAGTTCTTTTTAATTCAACTCATGACGTTATCCTGAGGATAGACTTTCTGAAAGAATGTGGAGCCACTGTGGATTGTGCAGCTCGTTAAGTTTTACTGTCTGGTTTTTGTGAAGAGCCCACGCGATGCCAACAAACTATCGCAGTCGTTGATGACATAGTTTTACTGGCCCAATCGATAGTTCAAGTGCCTGTGAATGTTTGTGGTGTCACAGCAGATAACGTTGACATTATAGTTACCCAATCGAGCTAAACTGTGCGAAGAAGGATGTGGTTGTGCCGCACTACGGGATTTCTGCAAGTAGTGGCAAAGCCTTGGTATGGGTGGTCAACTCCTCTTTCGAGCCGATTGTATTGCCTGGTGGAATGAGGCTGGCTGTGTTTGAGTTCGACATCAGGAGCAACGTTAACATTGCAGTCATTAGCAATGACAAGAAAAAGAAATTGCGTCTGATGTGGCTTGTCCTAGTGGACATACTAATGGATATGGTGAATAAGTCGCTATCGCCAGAGAAGAGACAAGCGTTAGTTCCGATCCTCTCCAACCATGCATTCGTTTTTGATTTTGCATTCAATAGCCCTAGAATTTCTGCACCACCTTCTCGCACTCGTCATGCGATTGATACTGGTTCGCCCATCCCATTCGTCAGAGACTATACAGAGTATCTCCGTCGGAGCGTAAAATTATTGCTGAGCAGGTGGAAGAAATGCCGTTTAAGAAAGTTATACAAGAGTCGTCTAGCCCCTGGGCAGCACCAGTTATACTTGTAAAAAAGAAGGATGGGTCTTGGAGATTCTGTGTAGATTACCGGCGGCTCAACTCAGTTACAAAAAAGACGTATATCCGCTGCCCCGCATCGACGACGTTATCGATTGTTTGCACTCTGCTTCGTACTTTTCTTCCGTAGACTTAAGATCGGGATATTGGCAAATCCCTATGCACTCTGCCGATAAAGAAAAAAACGGCTTTTATAACTCCAGATGGTTTATTTGAATTTAACGTCATTCCATTTGGTCTATGTAACGCTCCAGCCACATTTGAGCGCTTTATGAACACAGTTCTCCGTGGCTTAAAATGGGAAGTATGTCTTTGCTATCTTGATGACGTTGTAATCTTTGACCGCACGTTTGAAGAACACAATCGT